TGCGAGACTCTCGCACGAGACACGAGAAGTCTTGCACGAGACTCGAGACGAGACCAATAAAAGTCTCGTCTCGTCTTGTCCGAGTCTCGTCTCGAAAACGAGACGAGACCATGCGAGACTCTCGAAAACGAGACTCTCGCGGGCACCACTAAAAGAGTGTTGTACCTACAAATGTCAGTCTCTGTAGATCTAGTGCCTCGTGATTCTGGCCTTTTTGGTTCGACCACGTCACACAAAGGGCTAATATAATCGACCACCCTGGGTTATTAGGGTTATCTCCATCCTCATATTGGGCCTTTTATGTTCTTTGATGTGAAAGCCCGAGTGTTGTACAAAGTACGTACTTACTGAATACTGCTTACAGGGGGATAATACTAATACTGAATGATAATTTTTTTTAGCTGACATTTGATTCAAACAGATATATGTCTAAGAATTCAGAGCTGACAGTTGAGAAAATAGCAGAATCATCATCAATAATAATTTTTGATGAAAAATAGTCAATTATGAAATTTTCATATATCTAAATTTTACTACTCTTCAAATGCCTTGACACGTCTTTTCTTATATGTATAAGATAGCATTTTCAGGAGACGATTAAAGGTTCCATATACCTTCTGCGAACAATTGAAAACTTATTTAAAAGAAGGTGGCTGATATGTTGATACCTTCTTCTTATTTTTCAAGGTACTTTACCCTTGAATCCACCTTATTCATAATTCATATGTCTCTCGTAAACAAAATGAATTTTTTAAGTTTGAATGGCGCATTTAGAGTTTGAAGTGCGCAGTAACTTCAACGAGAAAACTGAAAGGAAAATATTTCTCAGTTTCAAATTGTATGATTCACATTTCACTAATGTCACTGATTGCATTAATATCATGAAAGTAAAACAAGTAGGCACATGGAATAATATTTTTATTTCAATTAAAATCAAGACATAATATTAGCAATAAATATATAATAACAATAAATTAATAAACTTTATTTTTGGTACATATTTGCACTACTGAAATAAATGGTAATATTATTGATATTGTTATAATGACCGACGAACTTTTATATTCAATGAACATTCGATGATCAATCTGACTAATGAAGTAATGAAACAGTCTAGCTTCGGGACTGGTTCATTATGTCACAAATATATTTACAGTGGTACATGATATATTATATATACAGGGAAAATGGCCTACAAATGGATTAATTTTCAGAGCATAATGTAATTTTTTACGTAAAAAAATCCCCATGTGGTTAATATTCCAGTAGGTAGAAGAGTGATATTCAGGGTAATTCAATGGGGTGATTGATGTTCATAACATATCAAGGACATACTAGTTTATACACAATTTATTTTATTTTACCCATAATAACTTCAGTATGTAAGGCTTCTGATGAACATTCTGAATTCGAGCTCAGAATATTATCACGAGTTGAAAGTTTATAGGGGTTTCGAAAATATTGATAAAAATCCGTTTATAGAAAATTGCGATTAGCTCGAAAACTACTAGCCCTACTGATGTGAACTAGGAATATCTTTTTCACGTAAGAAATCTTTAGGTATCATATTCTGAATGTGAAAAAAAAAATCATGCAAAAGTAGGATTATTTTCACCCTTGAACCAACCAGCTGATTGCAATTTCGAAATTCTGAGCTCAAATTGGAAATAATTCCCACATAAACGCAGTTTTCATTTTCTGAAGCGTTATTCGACCCCTTACACTATATTGAGAATATAGATGCATTCACTCATGCAGAGATTTTTTAATGCAAATTTTCATATTTTAGGTGCCCAAACTGAAATGATTGTTTCACAACTCAACACATGTTCCGCTACCTATGATAGGATCTTCAGGATGAGATTCAAACGAATTTCAATCTCTTCCCGAAAATGATAATATTGTTAACAGACCTCAAAATTCGTGTCGAGGTGTGAAACAATCATTTTGGTATGTGATTATTAACTATTCTCTGTGATGGTGAGCAGAGATTATGAGTGTATAATCTCTGTGGTGAGTGAAAGGTTCCAGTATTTGATATAATTATTCCAGGTATACCTAATATAGTGAGTTAAAAGCAGCGATGGGGGATAACAAATGTTTATTACGTTCGTCAAGTACTGATAATAGTTCGAATTGTGTTGAATTGACTGCTAAAGGTGTCCAAGGAATTATTAGTGCTAGCACAAGCAGCGGCAAGACAAAATAATTGAATGTCGTCCTTTGTACGTAGATAAAGAGTGATCTCAGGTTTAAATCAAATCCTGCTAGAGAAGCATCACCTAGTTGCAGCAATGCAGCAGCAGCAGCAGCAGCCACAACAGAGCTTTGCGATCTGAGCTACCGACATTCACATTCAGAGATAATTGCTTGTTTTGTGGCCAATTTATCAAGGAAACTGAGAAAAGAATTGAATCTGCGTATACCATGGCAAACTTTCGCGTTTCGACAACTATTCTTGATGTGTGTAATGCAAGAAACGATGTTTGGCCAGCAAATTTCCTTGCACGTCTTCTTTCCGTTATCGACTTGCCAATTTTTGACAAAAAACTGACGAGTCATCCTTAGGAAGGACTCTGATCAAGTTGACAAGCAGTTCAAATTGCACTATACCAGAAACAACCTCCTAAGTTTACCTAGATTACCATGGCCAGTAACTGGAACATTTGGGGATATCCTTGAAATCTACAGCAGGTATGTGAATGAGCATTACGGCTCAGCAACATTCATTTTCGATGGATATGCAACACCTAGTACCAAAGATTTGGAGAATCTAAGACGTACGAAGAAAATGTCAGTCACAATAAAATTCGCAGAGATTTCTAATCCCCACATTTAGAAGCTGCAGGTCACAGTATATTTTTCAAAGATCCTGAAAATTGGGGTTGGAAAAAATTTTATGGACACTTTCAGCCTATCACATGTGAGATGAGTCCTGCACCACAATCGTTATGGAATATGATTCATTGTACTTGCAAAACTGAAGTAGATGAACCTTGTGGAACCAGATGTAAATGTCGACGATACGGAATTTTTTGTACAGTATCGTGCAATAATTGTTCGGGAAGATATTGTACCAATATTCCAATCGAAGAAGAAGAAGATGAAGATAATTCGCGAAAATCACGAAGTGTGCGGCCTCTGGTGGCTAACTTTACAAGTCTTGCGAGTATGAACAACAAATATGGCGACCATTGATTTGAGTTTCTGTTTTATTCAAAAATAAATTATTTGTTGAAGTGCATATTCCAGAACCTCATTTTTCCCTGATGAAAAAACTCGAATTATTGCATGAACTTTTATTGTTTACAATGAATAAGCCAGTAGGTACCTACCTTATAATAATATAATATACATTTTCTGAAGCACAGTTAGAATCCTTGTATAAATGTTGGTTACAATGATTCGATCTTGAGAATACTTCAAGTCTTCAATTGCTGGAGATCCTTGTTTATGTAAATCGATGATATTGTTCATTCTGACCAGCCTCTCCAACCATATCTTCTTTTCCCAGCCCCTTCACTAGAATTCCATCTCCTTCATAAAAGCCAGTGATATTTCTTGATGAATTCAATTATTTCTTCATACCATATTGTTGTAATATCTGATTGCTTATATGGCTCCATTCCAGTCCATGCAAGTGTTGAGTGGACCATTCCGACCATTCCATATGATTGAAAACTGTGGAATTGTAGAATGATGAATACCACCGTTGTCCACATCAAAATGGCAATTTCTCTGCACAAAAAGTATTTTTTCCATACTGGAAACCTTGTACGTATTTCACGAAGTCAACTCATTATTCACCATTTTGCAAAATGATTTCTAAATAACCAATTTGCAATGAGTGCATACGGCAATGTTTTTGTTGTTCATACTCAGTTTGAAATTTGACGTTGATTTGACGTTTAATAGAGCCATCTATTGGTTCGTGATTTTCGCGAATAGGTCGCGTGCACGAAGACCGACCCTGGAGGCAAAATATTGAAACACAACCTCATTCTTCTGTGAATTATTGAAACACAACCTCATTCTTCTGTGAATTATTGAAACACAACCTCACTTTTTTATTTTGTTACAGATGAATCAAAAGGTTGAAATAGTTTTTCACAATATTTTGGCATACGAATCGTGTTTCTTGCGTTATTCATTAATTCAAGCATGCCTTCGCATTGTGCTGTTGTACAATGCACAAAAAATGCAGCAAGAGACTAGGGAATATGATTTTTCAGGTAAATAGTAATCTCACATAGTTAGCATTATGAAATGTTGTCATTCCTTATTAAAATTCCATCTGCCTTCTGCCACTTCTGCAATACAAGCTAATGCTGCTAATAGATTGAAAATGTCTACAACACACACGATCGTCAGCATGTCAGACCAGTCCTACCGATTGATTGCATGAATCCAATCTTCTTGCATTATTCTCGAAATTTCAGGTATATTTCTATTAGCAGATCCTATTGCAGAAGGAATTCCGATGAGAAATTAGAGAAATAACCAAATTTCAAAAATGAAAACTATGTGAGTGACTATAGTGGGTACTTACTTTTGAATCATAATGTACCATCCGGATTTCTTCATCTTCCGCTGCAGTTTTTGTGCATTTTACAACAGCACAATGTGATGGCATTAGCGAATTGATGAATAGCGGAAAAATACGATTCATATGCCAAAATAATTGTGGGAAACTATTTCGATCACTTGTAAACAAATATGTTTTGCCTCCAGGGTCGGTCATCTGACAGTTCTTGCACGCGACCTATGAATGAACTTTTGTTACATGCCAAATATGTCATTTTTATTAGGTTAATGATTTATACATATTGAAGAATAAACGAATATTAGAAACTCTGAATTTTTATTTTGCACACAGGTATCATTCTATATTTTCTCATATGCGTTTCTTCTATGCATTCTGAACTGAGAGGAGCAGAAGAAAAATTGTGAGAATTATCTCCACCTGAGACCATTTTTTATCGCATATCTACTATACTATGTGTGTTTGAGAATTTTGTGAAAATCTTATCGTTTGTGAAGTTTTCACAAAGAATAACCCCATTGAATATCAGCACGTTTTTAAGAAAAACCCTGCTTTCTCGAGGATTTCCGGAATTCGCCCCCTAATTCGTCGGCTGGCTGCACCCTCACGTATCCGTGCTGGAAGTGTTGGCATCCTCGGGATCGGGTGGAGTGTCATCGAGAAGGAGTTGTTGCTGCTTGAGGACCGCGAGTCGTTGATGGGTTAATTCCAAGTGGTGTTTGCGCCATTTGATGCGGCGGTTCTGGAACCACACCTTCACCTGGAACGGTTAGACAGTTGTTGGATCATCGAACGTTTTACACTTTATGAATTTTATCTCGAAATAAATTGACTTTTATCTCGACATTTTTTCTTTTACGAAATTTCGAATTTTATCCCAAGGTTTCTACTTCTAACTGATCTTGAAATTCCGATTTTCGAATCTCGAAATTGAGACTTTTACCTCGATATCTCAACTTTCATCTCGACATTCTCATTTTTATATAGGAGTCAGTCATAATTTTTGTCGGTTTCTCTCTCTCAACCGGTAAGATACATATCGTGGGTCATCTCACGTAATGACGTACTTATCTCATAAAAATCGGAATCTGAGATACTTCGTCAAGTGATTTATATTCTTGTACTCTATGATCTCACAAAGTGGCGTAACTCAATATTCAATGGTTTTCGTGCAATTGAAAATCTAATACCCAGCCTATCTCAAATTATTGGACTACCGAATCTCACGAAGTGACCTAACTATAGGAGTTACGTCAGTACGTGAGATATATTCTCATTATGTGTTGGAAATGTCGAAAGTGACGTATCTCACATCGAGTTTGTCGCGGAAATTTAAAATATCTCGGGTGACGTATATCAATTTACTGAAAGGAGGATTGTACAAGTGGAATGAATTTCTGTGTTTTTATCAATAAAAATGAATATTCAGATCTATTATTCATTTGAATTCACTCAATATCCATGGGTGTATCTGAGGCTCCATTAACAAACATGGTCTCACGTAGTGACGTATCTAGTAACCTAACCTAAGATATGTTACCAGATCTAGTAACCCAACCTAAGATATGTTACCAGATCTAGTAACCTAACCTAAGATATGTTACCAGATCTAGTAACCTAACCTAAGATATGTTACCAGATCTAGTAACCCAACCTAAGATATGTTACCAGATCTAGTAACCTAACCTAAGATATGTTACCAGATCTAGTAACCCAACTTGAGATATGTTACCAGATCTAGTAACCCAACCTAAGATATGTTACCAGATCTGGTAACCCAACCTAAGATATGTTACCAGATCTAGTAACCCAACCTAAGATATGTTACTAGATCTAGTAACCTAACCTAAGATATGTTACTAGATCTAGTAACCTAACCTAAGATATGTTACTAGATCTAGTAAATAATTGATTCAATATAATTTTAATTGTGTCGGTTTCCCACCTCTTCCTGCAGTCTACATTCTCATTTTCTTTCTCTGCGATCGTATCATTCAGTAATGCCCAATACGATGACGGAACTCTTTTTTTGAACTGTTGGCGTTCCTTGCGAGTTCACACTCTTGGCAAAAATAGTTATTTCTCAATCTTGATCAACAGGAAAAGTAGAGTCCCTGTATATATACCTTAGACAAGAGTCCGGACACAGCTATACTTCTGTCCTTTTCTGTTTTCAAAATATGCATTGATGATTGAATAAAGGAATAAGACATATATATTTATCCAGCTCTGTCTTTTCAATTCCCCTAGCATTGTCCCCTAGTATCAATGATTGTCAGAAACAATTTTGAGGGTTAGATTATTTGTCAAACCGTTCATAGCCGTAGGAAGAAGTGAGAAATTGGGCTATTTCAACTAGAATAACTATTAGATTTTCAAATAATGAACAACAGGGTGTTCAAATTTCGAATCGATAATTTTCATAATCAATTCCTGAGATGGCCATTGCAAATTTTCGTCATCAGATATTTCTTCACTTCATGCTAAATTTCGGCGGTCATAAAATTTCAATGTGACAGTGACAGAAATTCGAAATAATTAAAAAAAGCGGGCGGGACGACTATGATGTTTCTTCTGATTGTCAGGTGGGCAAACGAAATGAAACAAAATATTAAAAACCCCAACGGCTGTCAGTTTTGTGTCCGGACTCTTGTCTTGGACTAACTTAGCATAACGGGTGCCAGGATGAAGCCAAAAATATGAAACAAATGAATATCCATAAGGATTTGGTGGCATGATACGCATGCGCCATGCGCTATTATAGTAGTCATCAAAGACATGCGTTTCGGTGGACAATGACGTTTACTAGCCTTTCAATCAAAGCAGTATGTGTCTGATCGTTTCAAAACTTTTCCTTATGGATAGTCATTTGTCTTCAAAAATCGGCTTCATGTTTCGCTATGGAAACAGATAGAGATTATCCGTATTGATTATTAATACGTATATGGCAGACCTTGTGAAGTCCCTGCTGAATATTATGAAATTACGATCGTTCATTTGAACGAATGGTTGTTGCAAATGTGGCTATTAGGTATTCTTGTATAGCTCTGTAATGTGTAATGTACCTACATTATTTACTATATACTTATATGATCCATGTGGAATTATGCTCGCATGTAAACCGAGCCCTTGTGATAAAAATGTAATTTTTTTTCTAACACAATAAACTATCTATTTATCTATCTAGGAAAAAATCAGGGTATGGAATTATTGAGATTGTTATACTGACCTGTGCTTCAGTAAGTTGCAAGGTATGTGCCAAATAGAGCCTTTCTGGTCCGACCATGTACTGTTGCCTCTCGAACTCTGCCTCTAGCCTTTCCAGCTGTTCCGGAGTGAAAATCGTCCTCACTCGCTTGCTTTTGCAACTTTTTTTCGATTGGAGGACATTAGAGGACATGTGCTTCAATGCACCCCTGACTGAAAAAAAAAGAATCATTATTTGTAAAATATTAACCAACGGCGGAACTTGGCTATGAAACTGTTTTATTTCCTCCTGAAGATGCTAACATAGTGAAAATTTGAAAACCTGAAGGAAGGGTTCACTCTCGAATCAAATTATCTCTTTATGGGTCTGAATTAGTGTCTATGGTGTTTTGGAATATATAGGGCAATCAGGAAAAAAATATTTTTCGAACTGTATGAGTCTACTGCATCGCGTGAACCGCTGATTTTGAAAATCTAGGGAAAGGCTTATTTTTCGAATCTGACATCAATTCGTTCTTTTTGGGTCTGAAATAGTGTCTATTGATGTTTTGTGATATATAGGGCAATCAGAAAAAAAATATTTTTCGAACTGTATAAGTCTATTGCATCGCGTGGACCGCTGATTCTGAAAATCTAGGGAAATGCTTATTTTTCGAATTAGACATCAAATTCTTTCTTTTTAGGTCTGAATTAGTGTCTATGAATGTTTTGGAATAGATAGGGCAATCAGGAAAAAAATATTTTTCGAGCTGTATGAGTCTATTGCATCGCGTGGACCGCTGATTTTGAAAATCTAGGGAAAGGCTTATTTTTCGAATCTGACATCAAATTCGTTCTTTTTAAGTCTGAATCAGTGTCTATGAATGTTTTGGGATATATAGGGCAATCAGGAAAAACATATTTTTCGAACTGTATGAGTCGCTATTGCATCGCGTTTACCGCTGATATTGAAAATCTAGGAAAAGGCTTATTTTTCGAATCTGACATCAAATTCGTTCTTTTTGGGTCTGAATTAGTGTCTATGAATGTTTTGGGATATATAGGGCAATCAGGAAAAAAATATTTTTCGAACTGTATGAGTCTATTGCATCGCGTGGACCGCTGATTTTGAAAATCTAGGGAAAGGCTTATTTTTCGAATCTGACATCAAATTCGTTCTTTTTGGGTCTGAATTAGTGTCTATGAATGTTTTGGGATATATAGGGCAATCAGGAAAAACATATTTTTCGAACTGTATGAGTCGCTATTGCATCGCGTTTACCGCTGATATTGAAAATCTAGGAAAAGGCTTATTTTTCGAATCTGACATCAAATTCGTTCTTTTTAAGTCTGAATCAGTGTCTATGAATGTTTTGGGATATATAGGGTAATCAGGAAAAAAATATTTTTCGAACTGTATGAGTCTATTTCATCGCGTGGACCGCTGATTTTGAAAATCTAGGGAAAGGCTTATTTTTCGAATCTGACATCAAATTCGTTCTTTTTGGGTCTGAATTAGTGTCTATGAATGTTTTGGGATATATAGGGCAATCAGGAAAAAAATATTTTTCGAGCTGTATGAGTCTATTGCATCGCGTGGACCGCTGATTTTGAAAATCTAGGGAAAGGCTTATTTTTCGAATCTGACATCAAATTCGTTCTTTTTGGGTCTGAATTAGTGTCTATGAATGTTTTGGGATATATAGGGCAATCAGGAAAAAAATATTCTTCGAACTGTATAAGTCTATTGCATCGCGTGGACCGCTGATATTGAAAATCTAGGAAAAGGCTTATTTTTCGAATCTGACATCAAATTCGTTCTTTTCGGGTCTGAATTAGTGTCTATGAATGTTTTGGGATATATAGGGCAATCAGGAAAAAAATATTTTTCGAACTGTATGAGTCTACTGCATCGCGTGAACCGCTGATTTTGAAAATCTAGGGAAACGGTTATTTTTCGAATCTGACAACAAATTCGTTCTTCATGGGTCTGAATTAGTGTCTATTGATGTTCTGGGATATATAGGGCAATCAGGAAAAAAATATTTTTCGAACTGTAAAAGTCTATTGCATCGCGTGGACCGCTGATTCTGAAAATCTAGGGAAAGGCTCATTTTTCGAATCTGACATCAAATTCGTTTTTTTTGGGTCTGAATTAGTGTCTATGAATGTTTTGGAATATATAGGGCAATCAGGAAAAAATATTTTTCGAACTGTATGAGTCTACTGCATCGCGTGGACCGCTGATTTTGAAAATCTAGGGAATGGCTTATTTCCCGAATCTGACATCAAATTCGTTCTTTTTGGGTCTGAATTAGTGTCTATGAGTGTTTTGGGATATATAGGGCAATCAGGAAAAAAATATTTTTCGAGCTGTATGAGTCTATTGAATCGCGTGGACCGCTGATTTTGAAAATCTAGGGAAAGGCTTATTTTCCGAATCTGACATCAAATTCTTCCTTTTTGGGTCTGAATCAGTGTCTATGAATGTTTTGGGATATATAGGACAATCAGGAAAAAAATATTTTTCGAGCTGTATGAGTCTATTGAATCGCGTGGACCGCTGATTTTGAAAATCTAGGGAAAGGCTTATTTTTCGAATCTGACATCAAATTTTTCCTTTTTGGTTCTGAATTAGTGTCTATGAATGTTTTGAGATATATAGGACAATCAGGAAAAAAATATTTTTCGAGCTGTATGAGTCTATTGAATCGCGTGGACCGCTGATTTTGAAAATCTAGGGAAAGGCTTATTTTTCGAATCTGACATCAAATTCTTCCTTTTTGGGTCTGAATTAGTGTCTATGAATGTTTTGGGATATATAGGACAATCAGGAAAAAAATATTTTTCGAGCTGTATGAGTGTCTATTGAATCGCGTGGACCGCTGATTTTGAAAATCTAGGGAAAGGCTTATTTTTCGAATCTGACATCAAATTCTTCCTTTTTGAGTCTGAATTAGTGTCTATGAATGTTTTGGGATATGAAGGACAATCAGGAAAAAAATATTTTTCGAGCTGTATGAGTGTCTATTGAATCGCGTGGACCGCTGATTTTGAAAATCTAGGGAAAGGCTTATTTTTCGAATCTGACATCAAATTCTTCCTTTTTGGGTCTGAATTAGTGTCTATGAATGTTTTGGGATATATAGGACAATCAGGAAAAAAATATTTTTCGAGCTGTATTGTATTGAATCGCGTGGACCGCTGATTTTGAAAATCTAGGGAAAGGCTTTTTTTCCGAATCTGACATCAAATTCTTTCTTTTTGGGTCTGAATTAGTGTCTATATGAATGTTTTGGGATATATAGGACAATCAGGAAAAAAATATTTTTCGAGCTGTATGAGTCTATTGAATCGCGTGGACCGCTGATTTTGAAAATCTAGGGAAAGGCTTATTTTTCGAATCTGACATCAAATTCTTTCTTTTTGGGTCTGAATCAGTGTCTATGAATGTTTTGGGATATATTGGACAATCAGGAAAAAAATATTTTTCGAGCTGTATGAGTCTATTGCATCGCGTGGACCGCTGATTTTGAAAATCTAGGAAAGGCTTATTTTTCGAATCTGACATCAAATTCGTCATTTTCACGTCTGAATTAGTGTCTATAAATGTTTTGGGATATATAGGGCAATCAGGAAAAAAATATTTTTCGAGCTGTATGAGTCTATTGCATCGCGTGGACCGCTGATTTTGAAAATCTAGGGAAAGGCTTATTTTTCGAATCTGACATCAAATTCTTCCTTTTTGGGTCTGAATTAGTGTCTATGAATGTTTTGGGATATATAGGGCAATCAGGAAAAAAATATTTTTCGAGCTGTATGAGTCTATATTGAATCGCGTGGACCGCGGATTTTGAAAATCTAGGGAAAGGCTTATTTTTCGAATCTGACATCAAATTCTTCCTTTTTGGGTCTGAATTAGTGTCTATGAATGTTTTGGGATATATAGGACAATCAGGAAAAAAATATTTTTCGAGCTGTATGAGTCTATTGCATCGCGTGGACCGCTGATTTTGAAAATCTAGGGAAAGGCTTATTTTTCGAATCTGACATCAAATTTTTTTTTTTACGTCTGAATTAGTGTCTATAAATGTTTTGGGATATATCGGGGCAATCAGGAAAAAAATATTTTTCGAGCTGTATGAGTCTATTGCATCGCGTGGACCGCTGATTTTGAAAATCTAGGGAAAGGCTTATTTTTCGAATCTGACATCAAATTCTTCCTTTTTGGGTCTGAATTAGTGTCTATGAATGTTTTGGGATATATAGGGCAATCAGGAAAAAAAATATTTTTCGAGCTGTATGAGTCTATTGAATCGCGTGGACCGCTGATTTTGAAAATCTAGGGAAAGGCTTATTTTTCGAATCTGACATCAAATTCTTCCTTTTTGGGTCTGAATTAGTGTCTATGAATGTTTTGGGATGTATAGGGCAATCAAGAAAAAATATTTGGCGACCTGTATGATTCTACTGCATCGCGTGAACCGCTGATTTTGAAAATCTAAAGAGAGGTTCCTCTCTTAAAACTGACATCAAATTATTTCTTAATGGGTCTGAATTGGTGGGGAGCACGACTAAATATCCCGTACAAAAATATCCCGTCAAAGAAATCCTGCCGAAAATAACCTGCACATTAATATATTTAGACAATGATAGCCTGACCAATAACATTTCCCTTCCTCAGTCAAATTATTATAATGATTTTATAAGGATATAATTGATAAGGTTATTTTCAGCAGGATATTTTTGACAGGATATTTTGGACGGGATATTTAGTCATAGACCCGCCTATACTGCATAACGTGAACCGCTGATTTCGAAAACTTGAAGGGAGAGTTCTCTCCTAAATCTGACACCAAATTCTTGCTTTATGGGTCTGACTGAAAACTGATCAAATTGATAGTTTTCCATACCAGTCCAAATTTGTTCCGAGGTGTGCGAATAATAGCTGAGATATAGAGGAGGACCGTTCAAAGTGAGACACCCTGTAAATTCTCCTGGCAAAGTAATGGATTCCCTTCTTGTACCCCGCGATCGGATGACTCGAAAGTCCACTTTACATCAATTCTAACGACTCGATCGAGTTGTATCGGCAAAAAACTATGAAAACACCGCATTATTGTATCACGCTGTAAAACTCACCGTTGGCGATGTTCTGCCTGGCAGGGGGGCAACCGTGCCCCACGGAGGGGGGTGGGGGGTAGTGAGTGGCGGGGGGGCAATGCAACTGCAGTCGCCCGTGGGGGGGCACCGAGAGGTTGACGGCGGTCGAGTCCAGTTGGGGGGAACCTGTGCAAAAAAAATTACATTCACAGAGGTTAGTGTCATTATCTGTCACTGGACTTTGTGTTTGAGGCATTAATCAACCAATTCCGAGAATAACAAAACACAGGGTGTTCAATCCAAAAATACCAGCTTATGTGAAATTTTTAGGTTTACGATTTTCTTTTGCATTTTCTAGTAATTGATTATGAATGATAATAAAAAATACCCTTATTTTTGCCCATTTGAATGTTTCTGTAAGATCCCTGTACAGGGTGATTGTTTATAATTTAATCAATAGCTATCTCTCACTATCTCTAAAAGTAAAGTATTTTCTATGGACATTCAGAATCTGTTACTAGAAAATGCAACGAAGTATCGTATACCTAAAAACTGTATATACATATATACGATGGTATTTTATTTTCCTAATCGATAGAGCTCTTTCTCCTGTTTTTAAATATATACTTCATTGAGGTCATCTCTGTCACTTTTCGAAAAATATCGAAAATCCAAATTTCTCAAAAACTGACGAAATATAACTACAATAAAGTATATATATCTGAAATGAGAAGAAAGAGTTCTCTCGAATGGAAAAATGAAATACAGGGTATTCCATTTAAAATATATCATCTGATGTAAAATGTTTAGGTTTACGATGCTTTTTTTGCATTTTTTAACGTTTCTGTGAGACCAATATCAACTGAGATAGCTATTGAGTAAAATATAAACAATCACCCTGTACCGCTTTTTGTCAGACTTATTTATAAATAAAATTTCTAACGATTAAAATCGCATTTATTGGAAATTATCCTCTGTAGCTACTTGAACTTCGATCAGCTAAAATATTGTTCAGTAGGCACTAAGATCACCTTAGTTCTGTGACTACGACCGAGACAACGAAAATAAATAATTACATTGTATATGTAATATTTGTAGTAGAATTGCGACCAAAACTGCAAACTAAATTGAAAGTTCAAGTAATACACACTAAGTCGACTTTCCTCGATACCCTCCCGGAAAAAAAATCGAATTCCGTTTCTGCATCCATCATAACGAAATACTCCATTAGTCAAAATGAAGTATAATTCTTGAGGCATAGATCGCATTCGCCATTTTTTAAAGTTACTGTATATATTTTATATAGTGTAAAGGTATTAGTTTCAGTGCAAATTTATTTTCCTCTGAGATCCCTTGGGTGAAGCATTAGGGTTTCATTATGGAGCATCTATGAAGCCCAATTTATGCCTAATCAGGAATCACATTTTTATTGCTCAAAATTTTGGATGATTTAGTGCGGTGCCACCATTTAGTAGAATTTCATCAGCGATAATTGATTTCGCTCTTTCCTAATCGAGTTTAAACATCTTATTCTTCAATATGCAAATATTTATGACTTCTTCTCAAACCTAATATTCGAAAACTTGATGATTTCCCAAATCTCAGTTTAATTTCAAAAAATGGCGGAGGCTTAAAATTCATTCATTCGCCAGTTTTTCGAAAAATAAAAAAAAAACACTGTCAGTTGTTGAAGTACCTATCATTTGCAATATCCTGCAACTGGTGATAATTGAAAAGTCTTTCTTTTTGGAATAATTTCGCTGTGAATAGTGTTACTTACAAATTAGTACGAATATTAATAATTTCAACAGTAATATCACCATGTTCTGAATATTCCTTATAATTTCTCTCGAAATTATATTGCCGAGCAATGGAATTGAGTCAAAAATAGAAGACAAAATTATGGGAACATATTTAGAACACAGTGGTATTCTGCTAGACTATTTCACGAAGCAAAAGAAGCATTCGTTATAAACATGAACAACAGGAATCTCTGCTATCAATCAATCACCTCGGGCTCAAAATGTGTCGAACAACTCTTTGTCAAAACTCGATAGACTATGGAAAGAACATTTTCTCTCAAGGAATTATAGCTTAAAAATATATATATATATATACAATACTTTCCTTCTGTGTACTGTGTATGCCTAATTTGAAAAATCACGCTCACCTATACTTTTTACGTCACTGTTGAGCCCCAAAATGGCGGCGATCGTGAAGGACTTGCTAGCTGCTGATGAATTACTCCTGCACCTGGCGTCATCTTCCTGAGTGAGGTCATCGCAGTAGTTCTGAGAACCGTTTTCCGATTCGGGCTCGTTCTGATCCTCCAGCTGCTGGTGGTAGTTCAGGAAATGGCTCAGGGTTGAGGAGTAGCTGTACGGGTGCAGCATACCTGATGGTAGATGCATCAGTTCTGATGTAGCTTCTTTTGAATGTGTTTACATTTTTCTTGGCGTCTGGAAATCAGAACAGAATATTTTTTGTCTGAAACGGGTTTTTCAAAGTTTTCATTCTGAATTGAATGTTTTAGGAAATTCCTGAGATTTGGATATTCATCATAGAACTTTATGTACTTTACTACACAGGGTGTCTCTGAAAGGTCTGTACAAAACCTTAGCACATATTCCTGAGGTCAAAATAAGCCGATTTAAAGCAACTTACCTCAGTCCGAAATTTCTACGTTTCCGAGAGTACACTTCAAGAAAGTATTTTGAAAAATATATTTTTTGCACTGCTTATTCACTGATAAAGAAGATAACAGCAAACATTTTTCATTTAAAATAATTTAAATATTCTGGTGCTGCATCAAACATTCAAAACTAAAATATATCGGCTTACTTCAGCAGATTATCACAAGAGTATCTTTTTTGCTTGAAAATGAAAAATCAGCTTCATTTCCACATAAACAAGACTTATATATACAGAGTGGGCCTTTGAAAACGAAACAGAGGCTCTGTAGGTCGCCAAAACCGGATTATGAAAAGAATCTGAAACACGTCAACTACGTTCTCGGGAGGGACATCGTCCTACAATATTTTCAGCCCTGCGGCGTTGCCGCTGCTAACGAAAAGAAGCAACAACTTTGTTATTTCAAATGGAACACCTTGTATTTCATTGCATTTTTAGATTCTCCCCGAAGAGCTGATATCATCAATGCATCATACTTGGGGTCTAGCTGTAATGGTTTCAGGGATATAAAGTGTTCAAAATCGAGATTTTTCAACTTTGGCATTTTTTTTTGTCGAAACTATTCATTATTGGTCGAAACGGCTCTCATGTCCCTATCTCAACTTGTGATTTACTATCTACTGACATTTAACTGGAACAGATACAGGGTGATCAGAATTTTGAATCTTGAACCACCCTGTATTTGTTTCAAATAAATGTCAGTAGATAGTAAATCACAAGTTGAGATCGAGACATGAGAGCCGTTTCGACCAATAATGAATAGTTTCGACACAAAAAAATGTTAAAGTTGAAAAATCTCGATTTTGAACACTTTATATCCCTGAAACCATTACAGCTAGACCCTAAGTGTGATGCATTGATGAAATCAGCACTTCGGGGAGAATCTAAAAATGCAATAAAATACAAGGTGTTCCATTTGAAATAACAAAGTTGTTGCTTCTTTTCTTCAGAAGCGGCAACGCCGCAGGGCTGAAAATATTTTAGAAAGATGCCCCCCTCGAAAATGTAGTTAACCTGTTTCAGTTTTTTTTGATAATCCGGTTTTGGCGACCTACAGAGCCTCTGTTTCGTTTTCAAAGGCCCACTCTGTATAGAACAAATAACACGTTGGCAAGGGTAATCAAAAATAATAAAGACAAAACCTCTAAATTCGAAAAATCAGGGGTATACAAACTCATTTGTGGATCTTGTCCTAAGGTATATTATATCGGTCAGACAGATCGTACGTTTAATCAGCGCATTCATGAACATAAGATGAATTTTTTGAAACAGAAAACAAATTCAACATACGCCAACCATATATTAGAAGAAAACCATTGTTTTGATGATAATTTCGAAATTCTACACGTAGAAAATGATGGAATGAATCTCAATAATTTTGAATCATTAGAAATCAACAAACTCAAAAATTCTGACATTTTACTTAACGATCAATTAGACCTCAATAGTTCACCACTGTTGAATTTATTTTCGTAGTAGGTATGTATTTGCAATTAACCCTTTCAAGTTAATCCCTTACACCTTATTTCAATGTAGTGATTGTGCCTAATTTTCGAGTAGTAATCCTTCAGGTTGGGAAAGTAGGATAAAAGTTAAGCAAGCCAAGGTTAGTTTACTTCATTTTATCAGTATATCACCTGACGAAGCTACTGTGAAACATCTCGTGTGTTTGAGAATTTTGTGGAAATCTTTTCGTTTGTGAAGTTTTTATATTTGCCATGGATTTCTAGCAAGTAACGGCCGATTCAATTTAAAAAAATTCGAAAATTCCCATAATTTCCATGTATGCAAAGATTTATACGACGAAAAAAATTAAAAAGTACTATTAGCTATTTTTTGTTTTCTCTTCTGTACTGAGCAACTTGTATCCGTTTTTCTCTCGTTTTTTCCACTGAGTACTAATAATTAAGTATACACTTTTCACTTAATGCAGCACCACGAAGTTTCCTAGACCAGCAATAATCGTTGTAATTAATAACATCTGTCGTTTTTGTTGTTAAGTATTAATGATTTTTCGGCTGTTGTGTAGTTTAGTTTTCAATGTTTCAGTAACTCATTCAATATTATGAATCTGAAGCAGACCATGTCATGAATAAATATGATTCTACTGTGTCAAATCTGGAAATAATAATAATAATAATAATAATATTTATTTCATCCATTGAGACATTACAAAATGTATAGGACAAGTCAAGCGCTTACAAAATGGTTTAAAAATGAAATACATGATGAAATACACAGAATACAATTATTGTCAGTAAAAATTAAAACAAATGGCAACAATGGCTAAAATGGCTACTACAAGTCATCCTGCAGATATTCATCTATACTATAATAACATTTGGTAACCATTAAATTTTTTATAGTTCGTTTAAAAGAAGAATTGGAAATTATATTTTTAATTAATGTTGGAAGATGATTGTATAATTTCATTCCCATATATCTAAAACTATTTTCTAGTTTTGTTGTTTTGTGTTTGGGAATGCGTAGGAGATCTGAGTTTCTGGTGTCATAGTAATGATTTGAAGAATTCAGTTGGAAGGTATTGATGTTATTTCTCACAAAGAGAAGTATAGAAATTGTGTCCATCAGTGGTGGTCTTGATAATGGATTTTGTTAATAAAAAGTGTAATAGAATATTGAAAATATCAAATAACCACAAAAACGTTACAAAATGACGTATTATCATCTTATACAGTAAGTGATAGTAAATTTATTGATGATGCACATACACACATTTATTTCTGGCAATGATTCCGCAGAGTTATCCCCACCATTCACGATTTCGTTCAATTATCCGTGTTTGGCGTATATACTGTTCAATGCTTCATAAATGAATCACGGTGTCAATCTAGTATTGGTATTTAGTCTGAGGTACTCACCTTCCTCCTCGAAATATATTTTCCTGCTAGTACTATGTAGCACCTCTTCGCACCGAACACCAATGTTATTGTGCACTACAAAAAGCACCTGTGACACCGTATACCGTATACCTCACTGCATTAACAAATGAAGATTCACCTTCCGGTCGCGAAGTCAGTTATCCGTGTCTGTCTGTCTGTATGTTGATGACAGGGCAAGGTGCTCATCGTTCCCACCCCTGTACGGGGGTGTGGGTGGACGCCACGCAGGACACACCCCCGCTGCGATAGGGTGGCGGAATCGCGACTGCTGGTCCTAAGGGTGGCAGGGCGAGGGTAGTTTGGGCATGTCGGGTTCCACAGTGAGTTGCTTAAATCAAATAACTTTATTTCTATTATACTTCTCTGAAATCACCTTATTTTCATCTATGTACCGGGTGACACGTTATAAAGTACCACCCCATATAACTTTATTATTTTTGACAGTAGAAAAATAATAATGAAAAAACAGTCTTACAGGGGATTTTTTTTCTCATCAAATCAACTGATATATTTTTAGTATCTCAGAGGATATACAAGGAGCAAGAAAAAGACTAAAAATTTTAAATGGAACGCCCTATATAGATAGACCTTTCGAAGAGCTTTCCGAAAATATCCCAGTCAATACATTTATCTTCAGTATTTCTCATGATATGGGCAGTCTAACCTAAAAAAAAGTGTTTATCGATCCTCAAACGATTTTTGAGAGTATGCTGTGACAATGAATCTAGGTAATTAATATATCGTTATGATATTCAATACATATTGACAGTAAGTAATCGCTCAAAGTCAGAATTGATTTAAATTCCGGAAATTAACATTTTCTATGATTATTCAATCTATTCAACATGAAGTTGCTAAAATTCAGTCAATTTTTGTACCGTATGGAATTCATAAGGTCTGAATTTATATTTTTTCAAAACTTCACAGATAGTCTTCCTTGAATTCCTGTGTGGTCCGAAAAGTGCGCTTAATTCTTTTGCCGAAGTCCTCAATGATTTTTTCGGATTTAATATGATTCAGTAAGACATTCAATTGATTTTCGTCAAGAATTGATTATGGAGGAAATTAACAAGAAATGACGAAGGAATTCATCTTCACTAAGCTATAGCTAAAAACTTGATTTCAAAACGGATGTGAATGATATTGTTGAATATATCTCGATGATTTCAAAGTTATCAATTTTTTTGTCGGAATAATGTCATCTGCAGATGCATCCCGAAAAAATCACTGTAGTCACAATTATAAAATTCAAGAGAAAATAATCATGATACCTTTTGATGGAAACATGTGTGATATTTCTGTAAAACTTTCATGCCCTCAAATTATACAGGGTGGCTAAAAATTATTTTCCAATTCAGAACTTTTATAGAAGTGTTTGTTCTCGAGTTTTTCAAATGGAACACCCCATATATTTTTATATTATATTTCTCAACGATCTCTCTTCGAAAATGTGCAGACATCTGGGATATTCAGTGGATTGCAGATTTGATCCAAGCATAGCTGAAATACTCCTATACAAAATTTTAACGCGTTATATACCTGATTTAGAATGTTAGTTATTTAATGGTGCATTTAAATATTCTTACTCTTGCAATTCACCCTGTATGAAAATCTAAGGAGTTGATATGACCAAAATTGAATACTTCCATTCGAATTTTTGCAGGAAGATGTCACTAGGTCAACCAAAAACTGATTGAAATTGTAAAATGTTTGACGTTTTCTCAGCGTTTTTTAAACGGTTCGTTATTCTTGCAAACAAGAACGAAATAATTTTGTATTGAATTGTTTTTTCAATAAAGTGTGTGTGAATTAATTTCATTATTCATTCCCAATTTTCTCTGTGCGTTGATATTCATTT